TAGATAGTATATATTAATTGTCATAACTATTTTTCTCTACTTTTTTGTTCCAAAAGTTATATTGACAATTTTATAATTACAATTTATAGTTATTGTTATAAAAAATTATCACATCAAATAATAAAAATCAAGTTTTTTGTATTAAATTATTTTTGTACTTATATATTTTAATCATTATGAAAAATTATACTATCAGAAATATTTCTTCCTATTTTTTAGTGTCAAAAATGTTATATAGTAACAAAATATATTGTAATTAATTATTTTTAAGTTATTTGTAATTAATTATTTTTATAGTTATATATTTTAATCATTATGAAAACTTATACTATCAGAAATATTTCTCCTATTTTTTGGTGCAAAAATGTTATATAGTGACAAGTTTTGTAACTATATGTGATAGTTATTGTTATAGAAAAATTATCACAAAAAATTCATTTTTTTAATTAATAAAAAATTCAAGGTTTTTTTTATAAAAAAATTATGTTTGCGGTTATATATTTAATTATAATGATAAAATATAATTATTATTATAAAAAAATAAAATGTTTAAAAAATTAATTTTTATGATAATATACATATAATTAAATGGTATTTTCAAATAAAATATAATAACAAAATATATTATAAAAAATTTAAGGGGCTTGTTTATTTATTAAACAATATTATTATAAATTTAAAATCTAAAAAACATAAAAAATAAAATATTAAAAATAGTAAAAATGAAAATTAAATTGCTAAAAAATTGAAATATATATATATATATTGAATTAGGAATGAACAAGCTAACTTAAGCCCTTAGGTAAGGTGGTCCGTGTAAGTCTTGAACAATATATATTAATCATAGTTGAGCAAATTTCCTATTAAATTTTTTACATTAAGTTTAGGTGAAGTTTATTTCCGTTTATCATGTTATATTCACTACAATACTCTTCTTAGTTGTATAACTATTTTTAATATTTTTATTATATAGTTTCATAATGGTTAATGATAGAAGTTGTTGGTTAAAGGTCATGTTAATTGTTTTTTTTCTTAAGTTTGAGGGTTGCATTGAATGAAACAGTAATTTGATGGTCAATTTGATTTTTTTTTTGAAAATGTACAAGAGCCTTATGTATCTTTTTTTCTGAAAATTAATATAAATTAAATAAATATTAATCGAGTATCGATGACCCGAAAATATGGGTACCTAGGTTTTATGGGTACCCAACTTATGGGTGCCCACATATTACTGATTGAGACATAGATCGAGTTTTTGACACCAAAAAATTTCGAATACCTGAAAAAGCGAGTACCTAGATATGAACATCCCTAACTAATCCGAATGATAAAAAAATTGTGGTATGCTCTTAATAATATTAAATAATATTTTTTAAAATAAATAATTAATTTTTTAGGGAAATTTCCCTCTATTTTATTTTAAAGGAAATTGATTTTTAAAGAGAAACTGGTTTTTAAAGAAATTTATTTGTATTTATTTTATAAATACTTTTTTTAAAACCCTCAATTTAACTATTTCAGACCATTATTCAAACTTTATATTTCTTCTTTCATCGTGATGGCAAAAAATAAAATAGAACATAAACTCCAGGCGAAGTTCCGAATCACATGATCGAACAAGCATGAAGACAGATAGGACATAAACTCCATTGTTGTGGTGTGGTTTCTTGTTCCACATTTATTCATTTGGATTTGAAGAATGCATATCATTAATATGTAAAATGGAACAATAAATGGCTATTTGTTCTTTATATAAACCTATGTTTCGGAATTGAAATCGGAATTAAGATATATGTGAAAAAAATTCACATACAATAAGATTTAAATCAGAATAAATATCGAATGAATTTACAAATGATAAAATGACCTAATCAATCGGCTTCCTTGGATGAGTGGTCTAATTATATCTTTAGTCCTCTTCGAATTGTGAAAATTTGAAGAATGATCTTTGTGTAGTTATTATTGAATACTAAAACGGACCAAACAATTGAGTTGGAGAAAGGGCTTTTTGGGTAGAGAGAACTACCAACTGATTTTGAATTCAAAAAGTGTTTTCGTTTGTTTATTTATTCATGATATCGCCAAAATTTGAAACAAACCCAAATACCATTTCTAGAATTTCAAATCTCCTTCCCTCTCTTTTTATCGCTCTCTCAAAAACCCTAAGATATCTATCGTTAGTCCTCTAATCACTCTAACATCCAATCAAGTTATACCTTCTGTCCATCCGCCTCCGGTACCGGGACGGGAGCTAGCTAATCCTCCGACGGACGGGATCTCGAACCTTGGGTTCTCCAATCACAGTGATAATCTACTCATCTCCTCTTGGGATAAGGTGCTCTGTTTCAAATATCAAATGTCTTTTAAAATTTTAAGTTTCCTTTTGGTTTTTCAGTGAACAGTGTTTTTCTTTCTTTCTTTTTTAATCGTAGTCTGTGAGATTGTATGATGCGAGCGCGAACATTTTGCAAGGAGAGTTCATGCACGGTGGACCGGTACTTGATTGTTGCTTCCACGATGATTCATCCGAGTTCAGTGCCAGTGCCGATAATAAAGTTAGGAGGTTAGTTAATTTTTCTGGTTGATTCTCAAGAAAGCTTAGGAGAGATGAATTTAGAATCAAGATTAATTTCGAGCTTTTAATTTTGTAGGATAATGTTCAGCCATGGAAAGGAGATGTATTAGGTAGACATGATGCTCCTCTGCGTTGTATAGAGTATTCTTACGCAGCAGGTTAGTTAGAATTTGCAAATCATCTCCTTTGACTTAATTTGTCGGCCTTTTAAAGATGAGTTCAGGATGATTTGTCGTTGATGTTGCCTTTCAAAGTGAGATTATCTCTACCTGTTTGGTGGCGTTTGGTTTGTTGGGATCCTTTGAAATTAGAAGAATTAGAATCTAATTCTACCACCTTTCCATGTTTAGTTCAAGTTTTTAAAGGGTAATTGGAATCTAATTCCATCAAGAGAGGGAAATTAAATTACATCCATAACATGAAATTAAAATCCTATGACAGAGGGAATGTGAAATTTGATTATATACCCTCATCAATCTTTTGGTATTTGGTCGGATTTTTTTTTAAAATTTCGGGTTCGGGTCGAGTTTTTTTTAAGTTTGATATTCGGGTCGGGTTGATTTTTTAAATGTGATATTTGGGTCATGTTCAGGTTTAGATTGAAAAATACCCGATCTGACCCGAAAAATATATATAATTTTACATTATATATTTAGGAATAATTACAATAATACCCATTTATATATAATTTTTTTTTCAATTAAGTTATTGTTTTTATTGAATAAAAATAATTTTTTATTATTTTGGGTCGGATTTCTAATTCATATATTTGGGTCGGATTAGGTCAGGTGAAACTTTATTTTGGTCGGGTCAGGTCTCGGGTGGAGGCTTCCTTGTTCTCGGGTCGGGTGGACCAAAAACTCGATCCAACCCGACCCATGAAAAATCCCTAATTAGGATGATTTTAACTTATGATGTTTATTAGTATGATTTTTATAATTTATTAAAATGAATAATCAATCAATAAAATAAAATTTTAATATTTTTTAAATTTTTATAATATATTGTTATATATAAGTTATAAAACAAACTAAAATTAAGAAAAAAAAAAGACAATTTTAGATTATAATTCAATTTCCTGTCAACCAAACACGTTTGAGATTCAGATTACAATTTCTACAGATTTCAATTCCTCAAAAACATTTAAATAAATCAAACCCCACATGAGTTTCAATTTCTTTTTGAACGATTGATTGATTAATTCACCTTTGATTTAACTGAATAAAAAATGAACTGATATGATGGAAAGCGTTTTTAGAAAAGATGCTTGCTGATTCCGTCACAAGTTTCACTGAAACCTTATTGAATCTACAACATACAGTGTTGAGCATGAGCTTTTTGTTTTATGTAAGAAAATGTTTGAATCCTCAGTGTTTGATCTGTTGTTATAGGACAAGTGATCACAGGCAGTTGGGATAAGACATTGAAATGCTGGGATCCAAGAGGTGCAGGTGGGCAGGAGCGTACTCTTGTTGGCAACCTGAGCGCGTTTACTCGTTATCTCTAGTTGGAAATCGAGTAGTTGTGGCAACTGCCGGAAGACATGTAAATGTTTATGACTTACGAAATATGTCTCAACCTGAACAACAAAGGGAATCTTCATTGAAGTATCAAACTAGATATGTGAGATGTTATCCAAATGGAACATGTAACGTTTTAAAAGCCTAAAAATTTCATAAACTTTTACAGGGAAAGAAAATACTCATTAAGAAAAGGCTCATATTATTCATACATTTAAAGTAATAATACATTAAGAAAAGGCTCAATACACGGGTGCAGGAGATATCCCACTCAATTCTCGTTTGCTTTTTTTCATGTTTAAGGTTTTGCTTTCATCTTTTTATAGATTTCAATTTGAGCTCTTAGCTTCCTGATTGTACACAATGGACCGGGAGCGCGGCATTATGAATTTGATCAAGGATGGGCAGATATACATAAAGGGATCTCAAAGCTGAAGAGACTATTGGCAGGGAAGGCAAAAACTCCATTTTCCATAAGAGAATATATGATGATTTACACGTATCCTCCAATTACTTATTTTCAGTTGTATCGAATTTTGTTTGGCCACTTAATTATTCATCATCTTCCTTAATTTGCAGTACAATCTACAACACGTGTACTCAAAAGGAGCCTCATGATTATTCTGAATAGCTTTATAACAAGTACAAGGAGACACTTGATGAATAAATTACTTCAATAGTAAGGAATTTGTTGTTTTATAGATTATTTTGTTCGTTAAACATTTTAGTTACTAGTTTCCTTTGTAAATTGCATTTCAAGCCTATGGTTTTACTGTAAATTGGTTTGTATATTCTTCTTTCAATAGTTTTCTACTCAATAGAAACCCTATGAGAGCCCATTTGGATCCAAGAATTTAGCATTCTCAGCAGGTATAATTTTTTCCTAATGAAGGATCAAGTAAGATTCTCAAGTGAAGGTAATATTTTAATACCAACAGTAAATTTTAGTGTTTTATGTTATTCCCATATGTGTTAGGTATTTTTCCTTTTCCGTGCTAAGGGCTAAAATACCCTTATTTTCCTGTGAGCTTGCCTCTAACTGGTAATCTTCTTCTCCCCCGTGCTGCACACCTGTGAGTGCAGTATTTGGATCTTCTTTTATCAGACCATTTGTTAGAGAGCAGTATTGTAGCCCCTCATATCCTGAATAAGCAGTTTGATACAAGTTTCGAGCGATCGTTTCCAAAGTACCAGTTCAAGGTATGTTCTCCATGCTGATAACCAGTGCATAGGAGTTGGGACGGACTTGAAGAAGATGTTTCGCAAGATCTATTGAGATCAACCTTGCACAACAACCCATTCCTTCCAAATTGTAGCTTTGAATATTCCCTCAAAGCTTGTAATGGTTGATAACCATGGTAGACAACGATGGTGCCGGATTAAACAAACTGCAGTTAACAATCAAAATTCCAATGTCTTTGGGTTTTACGGAGGTCTTAGCCAAAAACTCGTCAATAGCACCAAACATGACATCCTTGGTTTATTTTCTTGCTTGATGCATTGACAGGTTAGGGGGAATGTTGAGTACCGCCTCTGGAAGATATGTTGAATCCCCAAGCCCTGACCTTTCAAGGATCCTATGCTGAAACTGAAGATTATCATCGGTGAATGTACTAGTCATTTGTGATTGATCCACGGACATCATTTTCGAGCATTTACGAGATTCCTCCGGTTTGTAACAAGCGAAGTTGGTAAGGTAAACAGGGCGAGGGCGAGTCAGAAAGTAGAGGGTGGACAAGAAAACAAGAATCGTCCAGCAAATGATGACAGAAATTAGGTTGTATTGAAGATGCTTTCAAAGATCATAAAGATCATGGACAGAAAATGTCAAGAGCTGTGCCGCGATTACAACTATAATTAGGGTAAGGAATGTATTACTTGTTGGTTCCATGGAACATGAAATGATTCCGTTCTTGTTTTGATATTTGTAGAGATTTGACATTGTTGAAACATGAAATTGTAACTATACTATTGGAGGTCGAGTTGTGAGAGTTAATGAAGTGACCACCAGAGGGGGTAGATCAAATTTTAGTCAGGACCGCCCTAGGGGTGAGTGGGATAGGCCAATGGGACAGGACAAAGAAAGAGATCATGGTAGAGAACAGTATTGTGATTGATATAGTGATAGGTCTAGAGAGCGTGATCGGTCTCAGGACAATGATTCTGGAAGAGAAAGAGGATATGAGGATCATGAACATGATAGAGTTGGAGAATACTTATTGGATAGCGATCACAACAGAGAAGTGGAGGATCATGTTCAAGGGCGCATGTTTAGGATTGGGATAAAGATCATAAGCTGAATTTGGATCAAGATAGGGAGTCTGCTGGAACCAACGGTTATAAAAGTGTTGACAAGGACAAGGAGCAACGACTAAAGAGATAGAATGGGTAACACTCCCCAATTGGTTACTTAAATTTTCTGTAATAGAGTTCTTCACATGTTGATACTGATTCTATTGTGCTTCCTTTGCATGAGCTGTTGCTATATTTTCCAGTCTAAGGTCTTCCTGTAGTTCATAATATATTGACTCTATTAATTCTTCTTTATGAGCTGAGCGCTAAGCTTCAATATTTTTCCTTGGATCAATCACTTCAGTTTTAGTAATGTTTCTAGATTTTTTTTCGTGTGTGTGTATTAATATGAGAAGTCTATTAAACTAATTTTCAATTTTGCAGCTACACGAGCAATGATCATGGTAGAGGACTTTCATCTGATTCTGTTGATGATTACAATCAGGCAACCTCAACTTTATTTTGATGCATATTTGTGTAGTCTCCTTTTCTTTTTACTAGTTATGTTTTGTTTTCATATTGAAAAAGAAATGGAAAGATAGATTCAAGGCCAAGAAGAACTTAAAACAGAGGTCTGCTACATTGTTGGAATTTTGAATTGATTTTTCTACGAAATCTGGTGTAGGAAGATGGATATGATAGCATTTAGGAGTAGGCTAATGCATTTGTTATGTGTGCATATGCATTCTTGTGCTTGTATTACCATGGTAATCACTAGAGCGGGAATATCATTATCCAATGTGTTTTAACAGAATCCAACCAGCCTTCTTTCGTTAGGGGCAATTTTATCCTCCTTTCCTCCAATACTCAAAGAAAGACGTGCATGTTTGTGTGTATGTTTTGGTTTTTCATTTCCACAATTGTGTAGTGGTAGGAAAAGGCGAGTGATATTTTCGTGACTCATCAGATTTCGCTGATGGAAGTAAGGTTAGAAGAGAGACAACAAGTTGTTTTGGAATTGCGGAAAAAATCTAAGGTATCTTAATGATAGTACCTGTTGTTTAATTTTATTTGACCTGATACATTGTCTCAAAGAGGTTTATAGCAAGTAAAGGAGTGCAGGGAAAAACTTAAACGCTATGAACAAGAACTTCAGGATAGCCGTTGCCGTTTGTTGATCATGATTTACATATGTCCAGTTGAAAACATGCTGTGGAGCCGAAGATACTGAATTTGTGATTGTGTTGAGCACATAATTATATATCATTGTCCGTCATACGTATCAATATTTTGGTTTGTCAAATTTCTTTACAAGAATTGCATTGCATGCTATCGATGTTTCTAGCCTTTTACTGTGTCATGGTGGAAATGGATTTTAGTTATGTATTTTTAGGTATTGAAGCAAAGGTAGCTCAGTAGTTATTTATGGTGAGTTACCACATGGTGTGATGATCCGAATTAGGGTATTAAATCATCTTTAAAGAATCATTCATGGAAGAAACGGTAGCAGTCATTATATTCAGCTATAAACTTTACCTCGCAGTCCCTTGTTGATTCAGCAATGGTAGGGTGATATGGGTGTAAGGGGGCGACAGTATGGCAAATGAGATTGCATGATTTGTGTTGGAAATTCGCTGATCAACATTTGATTGGATTACTTAAATCTTTTATGTAGATATAGCATGAGAATATTTGAAGGGAAACTAAATTAGATCATTCTTTTGATGTTGTTATGCTATAATGTTCTTTGTTGATCACATCACTGGGTGATGCAAATTCTAAATTGAATTAGTTGCAGTAATCCATCCAAAAGTACATTCATATTGCATTTTTAAGAGGATTAAGAGAAATATGTTGACTGTTATTTATAAAGGAAAATTGTCGCAAATAGTTATCGTGTTACATAGATCGTGCTTGATCGTTGTTGTTGCATGTGCTTCATCCAAGCTTGTTTGTATATGAATAACTAATGCACGATCGTTTTGTCACAAATCTGCACCGCTCTCAAAGGTAGTTGAATTCTTGAAGACGAAAAGCCATGGATATGAATATTACTATTGTGGTTATTGTATGTATACGCTATTGAAAATGATAATGCTACGAGCCTATGAGCAGTATGTCTATTATTAAGTTACTAATGCAATGAATACATATATTATTCCAATGCCATCTAAGATAAAGGGAAATGTGATAGAGTAATGTAGGTATCTTAGGCCAGCAGATGCATAGTATAATTAATCAAACTTGTGCCTTATATCACAAGACTATTATTTTCTTACTTATTTGAATTATGTTTTTGTAATATAAATTCATGAGATAAATAATAATGATAAAATATGCAGAATTAAGTATAAATATGAAAGGTAAATAAATAAATTATTGTATATAGAAGATATAATAAATATTATATCTTATATAAAAAATAATTTACATCTTTTTATTATTATGAATATCTATGATGAATTATTGTATATAGAAGAATGTAAACCTTGTCGATTAAAAAATACAATAAACCTCCCAGTGAATGCATCACATATAAACTGAAGCTAGTTTCCACAATGTAAATATTAATATATTTTTACATAAATTATGTAAAATTTAATATTAATTAAAATTAAAATAATACATGATATATTTAAATACTCAAGTAATATATTATCACTATATATAATTTTTATATAAATAATTTTTATTTAAATATTTAGAATTTTACTTGTTAAAAATATAGAACAAGGACAATTTGGTAAAATATATATTCCATTAATCTTTTATTCCTTCAACCAAACACAGTAATCTTACATTCCTGCCAAACCAACCAAACACAGTAATGTAACATTCCCAGTAATCCTATTCCCTGGTAATCTTTTATTCCCACTGGTAATCTTACATTCCGTGAACCAAACGCACCCTAAAAGTTATTTATCCATCTACTTTGGTAAATATGCATTTTGAATCTCAAGTTTCCTCCTCTTTGAAAATATTGTCACCTTTAAGAGATCTCCAAAATATTTGATTTATACCTTGAATTGGTAATGATGATATTTTATTTAAGTTTGATTCAATCCTCTTCGTTGATTGAATTATTTCGCACCCGATCGCCTGTAATAATGAACTATATGATCAAATATTAGTATATTACTGAGTAATTTCATTTTTCTTATTTGCATGTTGCTCTGAGCATGTAATATTGATGATTTGAAGTTGTGTTTTAGATTCGTTTTTTTAACTTTTTGAAAATAAATGGTTGGAGATAAGGACTATTGTTGCATGCGTGGCAAGGAGAGGAAGATTGTTGGTGTGCTTCTCAGTTGTTGGGGTTGCTCATGAGTCATTGTTGAGACTATTACTGGGCATTAAATGCTCTAAATTTGTATTGAATTTCTTTTTTTAATGTATATATAGATAAAAAAAATGGTGATTTCAGTCACAATAACATATTAAATTTAATAAAAATATATTAAATTTAATCAAAATAAAAAGTTATGTTAAATTTATTTCGTCATAATATTTTCTCAAAATAATAATTATATTATTTTTTGACAAATTTCTTATTCATAATAATAATTTATAACAAATATTAAATTCCCAATATAAAAAATTATGACAAATAACATTCTTTCACTATCACTATAATAAATTGTAACAAATTTATTTAGTTACAATAACACGATATATTTAGTTAAAATAAAAAATTATGTCAAATTTATTTCGTCACAATGTTTTGTTAAAATAAAAATTGTGATAAATTTATTTAATCAAAATAACAATTTATAACAAATATTAATTCTTCAATATAAAAAATTGTGACGAAGTAATATTCTTTCACAATAAAAAATTGCAACAAAATTATTTTGTCACAGAAAATTTATAGAACGAAATAAAAGTAGTGAGAAATTAAATTTTGTTGTAACATTTCTTTTTGTCACGAAAACATTTTTTATTTGATATCATAATTTAAGTTAATTGTGACAAAATTGACTTTTTGTGATAAAATAAATATATATTTTAACAAATATTTTGTTTCTGTATTTAAATAGAAACTATGACAAATAGTTTTTTGTTACTGTATTTATTTTTTGGCATAAAAACGTTTTATATTTGATGTTAAAATATAAGTTAGTTATGACAAAATGTAGTTTTCGTGACGTAATGGTTAATTGATTGTGACAAATATTTTATTGCGATAAGTTAATTATAGTAACAAAATTTTATTGTTACAATAAATACTATAAAATGATAACAAACAAAATTTTGTCACAATATACTTTACATGACAAGGTTGTTCTAACAAACATGGTAACAAATAAAATTAGTCAAAATAAATATATCATGACAAATTTAGTACTTTGAATAATAAATAATTTTGTTTAAACAATCGAAATTTCTTGTTGGATAAATAATCCAATAAATAAGAGATTATACTCGAGGTACCCCAAATACACCAGAATAACAATAAATAAGACTTCAAGCAAGAACATAAATTAATACCATAACAATAGAAATAGTAACAACTAGGATTACATAAAACTAGCATTGTTTGACACTCGGGAAACAGTCATGACACCCGAGTCTCTTTAGCAAAATACGGCAGTAAGTGGATATCCAGTTAATCCCAAGACACTTCAGTAGCCGACTAGTCGCAGATGCCCCAAGGCTCGACGGAGTAAGTTGGCTAGGTGTACGTTTCCGATGCAATTCTGGATCTAACCCTAGAGTACCCGAGGGTATTTCGATAGGCTAGAGGGGTGCGTTAGCTCTAAGATGCAAACCCTAAGTTGCACCATGATGCCAGCCAATGCTTAGTAGATCAGTATCTTGCATGTTTTTATATTTGTGCATTTAGCCAGTATATTTAGTGAATGCATGTAATACAATACATTTATCTGTGAGGCACTGAGCTCGTAAGGTTAGCGCATGGAATGTGTTTGCATGCTCAAGTTCTTAGGTGATCATTTTGGGAGCGTTGTTATCACCAGATATTCCAATTCAACATAGACCTTCAGAGTGCGTCTTGATTTATGTTAAATGGCATGTATTGTTGTAGACCCTTATGTATTTAGTTGTAGCTTTATTTTGATTTAAACTCAGCATATTTATTTGGATGATTTGGGAGCTTCCCACATTTTGTAAACCCATATTTGTTGTCACTTTTTACTTTATTCATGTGGATGGTTTTTATTCAGTCGTTTTACAATAATGTTTTAAAGAAATTTTTGGGTTGATCATTCGGTGGTTCCCTGTGACCTCGTAATCTATGGATCTTTGGGTTGGGTTGGATTAGGGTGTTACATTTAATTGTACCAGAGCGTCTATGATTAGTCGTACCTAGGACCTGTGGGTTAGAGTCAATCATCATCTATACATATACGTGCCTCTAGAGAGTCAAAAGTACTAAAATCACTGGAATGACGATAATGACCTCTATTTGTTTCTAATTTCAGACAAAACCAATGGTAGACGACCCGATATATAGTCAGGATGGAAACGACGAGAGTCATACCTCACTAGTAGTTGATACTACTGACGAGTTCGTCCTGGATACAAACCAACAGGAGGTACCAGTAGATGCAAGGGTTGAGGAGATGACTTTTTTCAATGACCTTACCTCTGTACTTAGACATATCGCTAGGTCCTTACCTAGTACCTCACTTGTACCACATCCCTCACCAATACCCTTAGTTTAGCCATCAGCAGTATCATTGGAGTCTCCAGTAGATAGGCTCCATATATATAGGACTACTGACTTCTACGGTTCAGAGGATGATGATTCCATAGTAGCAGACCAGTGGCTTAGAGAGACTCTCTGTACCTTTAAACAATTGTATCTTACCTCAGAAGGTAAGCTCGAATACGTCACCATCCTACTCAAGGGTGACGTGAAAGATTTGTTGGAGACAATTGAGATAGCTATTAAGCCAGAGAGGTCAACGTGTGAGCAATTTTTAGACGAGTTTAGATAGAAGTACATCGGGAAGACTCACACCGATGACTTGATGGAACAATTTCTATATTTAACTCAACGTGATTGCTTAGTGATGGTGTATGACCGATAGTTTCTTAAGCTTAACAAGTATGTCACAGATTTAATCTTGACAGATGAGCACTACTGTCGTAGATT